TTGAGGCTGATGCTACCTGCCGCCCTTTCTGAGAATTCCGGATGACAGACATTTTTGGCTATAATGCAAGAGAATGGCAAGTTCCCGCATTTTGGTTTTGTGTTTTTCTGCTTATTTGTATTGGGAAAAACAATAACTGACATTCTAATTTGTTTCAAATGCAGTAATGCACCAATAAGAAATCAAGTTGTAAACTTTAGCTCGATACAGACAATACCCAGCGTTGCTGTCGATGATGCAATAGCAGAAGGCAGTGCTTCATCGGATGCGAGAGGAGGATGGAGTTGCAGGCATTGCACATATTCAAATCCACGTACTGTAAATTGCGAGATATGCATATTACCAAGGATTAATTTAATAGTGAAAAAAAATTATTTTTATTTTTACTGTTTAAAGAGTCAAGTATTTATCCGTCTGTGTTTATGTGTATGTTATATTGTGAAGTTTATTGAGTTCATGTGTATTTTTATACTGCTAATGAATGCGATCAATTAATGAAGATATTTACTATATAATTGTTAATACATAAAACATAAATTTTAAAAGCCAAATATACAATCATTTATTCGCAGTCATTGCTTGATATCGATATGACACAACACCCGAAGATTTAGATGAAACGGTATAAGCAACATAACCAGATCCAACTCCGCTAGAGCTGCTTAACCTCTTCTGCTCATCGATTATAACATCAGCAATTCACCAACGCAGCACCAACAGCATTCGTCCAAACAAACAAGAAGTTTGCAATTGGATCATCTCCAACGTGACTGTCGCCATACCAAACATTAGAAAGTCATCTCATTGTTGCCACGCGAATTTTCGTGATTGGCTTAATGTCCATTCTTTGATTTCGAGATGATAATGTAGTTGGTGGCCCCAAGCCGTTAACATAGCAATAGGAAAGTGCCCAATACAATGTAATGGTAATGTGAGAACATAAAAGTCTAAAAATTCGAAAAAAAGACATGTTTGCAATTAATTATAATCAAGCATCCATCGAAATCTCAATTGATTTTACAATTATTAACATATAAATTTGAAATGCTACCAAAGTCAACCCAGCCCAGAAACCATGACAACACAATATCACATCAGAAACATTTTCTTTCTTGTCGTCCAACACCCACGATAATTCTTTCAGCCTCAACACCTGGCCTTGGTCAACAACGTGTCTTGCCAAATCGGAGCAGCACTCTGACATTGGAGAGCCCATTTGCTTGTAGACAAAGTAGAAACACAAACAATAGTCCAAGTGCAAGAAGTGCTACAAATTATTCTCTGAGCTAAACTCCAGTTGTAAGAAAGTAGTATACTCATTAAAGTGAATACGAAGAGTGTGTATCATTTTCTTGTGAATTGCAGACAAATATTTTGTCGCATATAATTCTTGTAGCTCTATATTTGAATTTCTTTTAAAACTGTTGTTCACTTTCATGTAACTAAGATTTTCCGGAGCTAAAAAACTGGATTATTTTTTTACAATATATTGTAAAACAGCAGAAGAAATTAACAAGAATGAGGAGATATCGAGCTTCTTTCAAAAACAACTGCAACTTGATAATGAAATATATCCATTTTATCAAAATCAAAAGTAATAATAAAAATAAGATATGTTATTAAGTAGTTTTGAAAAAATTTGTTTGCAAATATGTTAAATTATATATCTGTAAATTTTTATATAGTTAGTTTTTATAATTCAGATGTATTTTTCTCATTATATATGGTAAACAGATAAAATTAAAGTACACGTAAGATGTTTATTTTCAAATAAGGTTAATTTTTTCAAAAATAGATTCAGATTGCTCTAAAGTGCACTTGTTATAATAGTTATTTATAAACTATAATGCAATTTTCTTTGAATCATATCATACAACTTTATATATTTTACCCTCGTAATGGTTAGATATTGGTCCATCCAGTCAGATTGCTTTGTAAATAGTTCCAAAATCTCCTTTTGCAAAATATTGGTGAATTTTTCAAAAGAGATCCATTCAAAAAATATTGCATGTTCATTATATTTCACACATGTCTTTATTTTTGCTAGACCATTCAACTTTATAAATTCGAGAGAGAGAGCAGCCCTTATTTCTTAATAATGAGCATATTAACTGCAATGAGTAATTTTGTAATAGTAATTACAATAATTGTGAGCTTGACAACGAGTGCATTGAGTATTTTTTCAGTATTCATTTATAAATAAATGATGACTTAGATGGAATGTCTTTTAATGACTTCTGTTTATATGTGTATATAATAAAAGATGTGTGTTTTATGTTGAAAAAAGTGCCATATTTTTATAGAATTAGTTTAAATAAATGGAGGTTTTACGCATTTGATGTACTGCATTCAAAAAATTGCTAATTAACGAACAAATAAATGTATAAATTATATCAAGGTAGTGATAATTCTCTTTAACAAGCAATAAAATAGATATTTATACTACATATATAGAAATTATTAAATATAAACTCAAAAAAAAATAATTGAATTTCTAGTATAATATTGATAAATGAAAGTACATGTAATACATGTATAAATTCCCATCAGGTGATTTTTATTTATTAGATACCTGATCAAGATGAGTCATAATATATCATAATCTGTAGAACCTGAGGATCGATAACAACCCCAAAGATCACTTGATATTTGACGCTTTCCTTATCATTATCACAACTCTAAAAAACATGAAAGTTCATAGAGTTTAGAAGCTAAAACGAAATATTAATGTGAAATTATCGAATTAGAAAACTTCAAATTAAAACATACAGTCGTTTCTCTCTATAATCACTTCTCCGTATGATCACTCCTCCCTTAAAGTCCTAGACTACTAAATAAATAAAAACCCTCTATACATGTCTGAGAAGTATTGCTATATTCTATTAAAGATATACTTCTCTTGAAGCATGCTCTTGGAACTGATAAATTTTGTTCAGTTATCATAAAAAATACAACTATTAGACAATTAACACTTCAGATTCTGTTGCATATGCAAGAAAAGTGTACATGAACTGTTCATCCAGCTTTAAATTTATACCCTGCAATTTTGTCACTAATCCGGCTACATTTGAAGCTCTTTGTGATTCTTTAATTATTGCTTCAGCATAGTCGAGCTTTGCGAGCATATCGTAAGTGAATTGCGAAGGATCATTACCAATAATTTGATGGATTTCTTGAAGTAGACGCGCCTTTACTGCCGAGTTTTGGCGAACATTGTAAATTATATAACAGAAACTTTATGTAGACTGCATACATAAAATATATATTTTTTTAGTATGTATTTAATTACATTAGTTTATATAACAATTAGTTATTTTAACGCTTACTGTTTGAATTCCACCAATTATAACTTCATCTTTTAAAGGTCTCATTTCTTCTATATCATCAGATTTAGGTTTTCATCCCGTGTTGTATTAGTTATTAATAATCTTGACAGAATATCATTCTGTAATGGTGGTGTTTTGATTGATAATTTCTAATCTCTTGTCGTCGTTCTTCAATTATTTCGTTCATTTTTTTATCAAACTCTTTGATAATTTTTCGTGTATTCACGGAATCCAGGAACATAATGTCTTACTGCACGTGGGAAAAAATAAAAGCATTGTATTATCCATATCCACATCTTCGTTTTGTTGATGAAATTTTGGCTTCAGTTACGGAGATTCCTTTAAGTTCAACCTGTTTATCATTTGGCAACATAGAATTTTAGAATATCGCATCGTTAAAGCGTGAAATTTTTTTTCCGGTTGTTGTTTTTAACGTAAGGTCAGTATTGAAACACGTCATCCATTCTACGAAATCAATTACTGCACCAGAGCCAAGTTTATTCCAGTAAATTTCTGCTTCTTGAAACAAAAATTTATTTTCGTCGATAAAATAATTTGGCGAAGTTATCAAATTTTTCTATAAAAACGCCACGAAGAAACGTCTAGGTTGAAAGCAATTCCGCGATTTTGTAAACATAACTCGGCTAGTCCTTCATTTCGAGAACCCTACTATAAATTAAATCATAAATGACATGTTAAAAAAGAAGAAAGATACTTTATAGAGCAATTTTATAAGTAAACTTGAAAATATCTACTCTTAAAAAAGTTAGTGTCTTGGAAGCACGATTCATTTGCTCTACAAGATCTGCACGGCAAAAATATACGTACTTCGAACATATCACCATATTTTGCTTGCATTCGCATTAGAAACTTTTCGGGATTGGTGCCCATCTGATAAATGTTGCCAAATAATGGAATTGGAATAGGTCCCGGTAAAGGTGGTAGACGAGTAAAATAACGGTAATAGTATCTAGCGATGTAAACACCAATTATCGTTATGACAAAAATAGCTGTCATCAATTCGGAATACGCGCGTAATATTGCCATTGTTTGTAACAATCCGAAGATAGTATTATTCAAGAAAAAAAATTATTTATTGTCTTATGTCTCTTTTTCGCGACATTTTTAGGATGTCTATATATACTTCGATTTTTTACTAAATGTGCTCTATAACGATAATTAATATTTCATACTGGTTTATTGTTATGTAGTTAATATAAACGGAAATTTATTTGTGCTATTACACAATACGTAATTATTGTAGCTAATGATTCGGGCTAAAGTACTTTTCAAAGTCCTAGATATTTCGGACTTTGAATTATCATACAAGTCCTAAAGTGTCCTAAATGTCCTAAATCCTAATTTAGAAATGTTTTTGCAGATCATTTGGTGCTAAATACTTTAGCCCGAAACACTAATTGTAGCATATGACTAGGAATTGTGCTTGTTGACTCCAAACGATGTTTTCGAGTTGGGGAAGGATGAAGATATTGGTGAATTATAATTTGTTGTTCTATCATTGTTCTGACGTTAATGTTTTTTGTTTTTTTTTTGATGCTAGCAAATTAAAAATTTATCCCTTTAATGTGATTCTATAACGATAACGAACGCAATTTGCATTTACGTATATTTTCTCAAGATCCCACCTTTTGTCTTTTAATATTATTATTTTCTCTTAATTCAATAAAAATGGAATCTTTCCCCTTTTTTATTCTTCCGACACACATTCATTAGGACGTTTGCTGGTCATTTTATGCTCTTTGAAATCTAGCGCTAGTGTTTCTTAAGAAAAATAGTATACAATATTTAAATGTTGAGACTCTGTCGTTGTTAACGGAAATATACATGTATAATCAAAGCCGTATGACTAATAAATTTTACCTTCATTTGTTTCGTTTTGAATATCTATATCATATTCAGTAGTCACATATTCGTTGGGACAAACAAATGGCACGATAATATCGATATGATTTATATTTAGAAATAGAAAGTACCTGTGTTAGAATTGAAATTAATTTTTTGGTAAAGACTCGATTGGTGTAAACTGTGTTTGAGTGGATTTGTTTTTCGTTCGTACTTGTAGGAATACTCTTTTTTATTTTCATCGAGTTCTTTCAATTTCTGCCATTCCAGTTAAGACACTCTTCAACTTCTTCATGTGTTTTAGGATATTTTAAGGAGTGGTAATACTGAAAATGCAAAATATTCAGTTTGAAACGATAACCGTAGATAGAGTAAATAAAGTCTCTAAGTTCCTCAGCAGTTGGTCTGTTTTCAGGAATAGGTTCCCAACATTTTTCAATAATAAACTTGAGTAATTTAGAAACATTATCTAGTACGAGCTCTATACCATGACTCCGCTCACCAAATGGTCGTTCACCTGTGAAAACCTCGTACGTAATCATCATCCCAAATCTATAAATATCTACAGTTTTAGTGTATGATTTTCCATTTAATACCTTCGGACCCATATAAGGAAGCAAGCACGCCACAAATTTGTCGATCACGCTTGGATTTCTTTATGTTTGCTGGGCTGGTAAGTCCAAAATCAGCAATTTGAGCTCTACTATACATTAATATATTTCGAGGGTGAAGTCACGATGCACAAATTCCTTATTGTGAATTTTATTCAATCCTGAAATAATCATGTCTAAATGTCCTAATGTTGTTTCCAAGTCACTTTGTACATGTAGTTGGAATTCAGATATTTGCGTAGATCGTCATCTTTTGCATAATCCATCACTATCAAGTATCCATTTGTAGCTGGGGGTTTTAGTTATTCCATAATATTTTATCCGATCACTGCACTGTAGAGCAGTCTGAATCTAATTTTGAAAAGTTAATTAGATCGAAGAACAAAAAAGCAATATGCTTACACTTGAAAGGTGTTCATTTTACCTCGTTTATAAACTCGGATTTTGATTTTCGCGCATTCATTTATTAGACTGTCGATATCTTTATTTTCACTAGACAATTCGATTCGTTTGTGATATCGAAAACTTTTTTCACAGTACTCATTAGTTTAACAATTGGTACATTTACTACAATCATGAGTATTGTGAACTGAACACTTATCGCAGTACTCGTAGCATTTACAATCGAAACAGTTATTACTACAATCATGAATATTGTGAACTGAACACGCTTTGCAGAAGTAATTGTCTCGACAATAGAAGCATTCATTACAATCATGAGTAAAAAATCACATCTTTGAGTTGTATAGTGATGATGGTGGTGATTTATGTAAAAAAACGAAGATTTATACATGTGGAAGTCATCGTCGTTCACATGCGACGGGGGAAAAAACAGTCGCCATCAATGAATACACATGACCCACCCTCTATATATGGATTCAATATCCTTATGGCCAAGGTGAATTTTTCATAGCATAATTCATTGTTTGCTTGTACTAAATTTGATTCACTCAATTAAAGCTACATTTTATAAATATCGATAACATGTGAAAATTTGGTTACTAATTTATTCGTAACTTTTCGAGAAAATCCCGTTTAAATAGTTATTTAGTGGTGTGCGTTGCAATATGATAATCAAAACAAATATGCATATATATCGATGTTGAACCTCCAAACGATGAAGGTAATTCCACTTGACAAACGAACTAGAATCTATCGCTACTGTCCGTGAAATCGCATTTCGAGAAAAAATCAGTCATTCAACTGTTGTGGGAATTAAAAAAAGAAAAGAAGAAACAGGAAATTTCAACGTTTTACCCAAATCTGGCCGTTCACGAATATTTACGGAACACCATGATAGAAATATTTCCAAACTTATTAAAACGAATGAATGTTCCGATCAAAAGATCTTCGTTTATAAACTCGGATGTAATTTGCTTGGAATTGTGTAATGATTTCAACACAACTTTGCGTTCTCCATATCGTTTAAATTTATTTTCTTTATGCTCCTATCCCCCAGATATACTTGTATTTAATGGTCCGTCCAACCAGGATGCTTTATAAATTAATCCAAAAACACCTTTTGCAATATATTCAACATTGGTAAATCTTTCATAAGGGATCCATTCAAATAAAACTGCTAGTAATTTCTTGCATTCATTTATTAGACTGTCGATATCTTTATTTCCACTAGACCATTCAACATAAATTCGTTGTGATATAGAAAACATCACTCACAGTACTAATTTTTTTTTTGACAATCGACACATTTACTACAATCATGAGTATTGTGAACTGGGATCAATGAAATTTGCTACATTACATCTTGATAACATTAAATAATTTAGTAGCAGCATTTATTTGACTTTATTATTCAAAAAAATAAAACCACTATTACTATAGTCAACGATCAAATATTATTCTTTCCTGCAAAATATTATTCAAGAGGGAATAAGAATACTGACTAATTAATGAAAGTGAACTTTGGAAGCAGAAAATCGAGTAACTTGATAAGTCGTGTATATGTTAATAAATTAATAAGAATCGTTAAAGAACGCGAGGTGGTATTAATATTTTCACTGATATTACACATACTCAAACTTTTGTTGTTCCAAATCCTCCGAACCTTTTTTAAACAATAATGATAATAATTTAGCGACGCATTATTCAGCAATAACATTCAAAAATAATAATAATACTAATTTACCCCCCAGTCGTTTTTGCACTCGATCCAATGTACTATGCTCTACTTTCATAGTTCGGTCTAATGCTCTTTGATCTTTATGAAAAGGGAATAAAAAATTAAGTATTGTTATCAACCAATCTTTATGTCTCTATTCTCCTACCAAATTGCAAGAATATTATAAATGACAAATCCACATCAAATAAGCTCACACGCATAGAACAAATACTCACAATTTTTTCGGTTAATGTAATCCAAATGATTGACACTATCCTATCCTTCACCACACAATCGCACACTTACAATAATATCCTGGTTGTTTCAAGGCAATCTACTAGTGCTTTGAACCAACTGGGTTCTATTCGAGTTAAGCAAATCACGAGGTCCCTCTTCATCCAAAACATGTCAGCTGGTTTAGGTTTTAGACCTTTATGTTTCGCTCTTCCTCCTCTTCTAGCTGTTGTTCACGGCGAGCACGATCTCGTGCACGCTGTTCGTATGCTTGTTTGTACGGCGAAAGCTTGTGTCGTGCTGTTGTTGAAAATGAAAAGAAGTATAATTTCTAGTGATCTGCATTTGGAATAACTTTGATTTAGGGATATCGATATATTTAATCGATTTCGTTCACGTGTAATGGACCATACTCCCACACTCCCTACCTTCCATATATGGGGGAACACTAAAGCAAGGTAGTGGATTAAGATCGATCCAGATTAAGTCAATACAGATTAAAAAAATAAATTGGAT